AAATTAGGAGCTTTAATTCGAACTACCTAGTCCATGCCACGTGTAGCCGTGGGCAGGTAGTTTGAACTATGGGGCATTTAAAAATGGCAGCACCCAGGAACATGCAAATGAAGCCCGGGATATTTAAATCCTGGGCTTCATTTGCAAGTTCAAATGCCTACATTAGCCACCCTAGTTCGAACTAGGGTGGCAGTGTAGACATACCCTGAGAGAGTTTGGAGAGCTGTGAAGGACTTTTGGAGAGTGGAGGAGGAGTTTGGCGAGAGAAAAAGACACCGGAGGAGCCAAGAGAACAGCACTGACCTTGTTAAAAGACTACAGGGAGACAACAAATCTCAAACCAAGGCGAGTGAGCCATATACTGTGACTTCTAGACTGTGGGACAGTGGGCTGAACAGGGGTCAGGGGCCCTGGAGTGGGACTGACCCTGCCACATGTGGTGCCAGGGGTGGGATATTTTGCTGCAAGTGAGACCTTGAAGCGGACCCACCCAAGACAGACTAGGCCACCCTACTAAGACAGGAGAAAAACAAAATGGAGGACGTAGTAAGGGTCCTCATACAAGTCACTGCAGCACAGCAAGAAGCTATCCGGGCTCAGATGGCTGCCCAGCAGGAGTCAGTATGACTACAGCAGGAAACTAACCAGCTGCTGATGAACCAGGCTGCCCAGGATTGAGCCACCTTGCAGGAGGTAATAATGCAGATGAAGGCTCTGACCACTCAGGTGCATGGCTCAGATGGAGCACGGTCCCTTCAGGCCAGCAGTTTCCTCCAGAAAATGGCAAAGGAGGATGATGTGGAGGTTTACCTCTTGGCATTTGAGAGGACAGCCCTATAGGAAGGTTGGCCCCGAGTCCAGTGGGCCAGCATCCTGGCCCCATTTCTGTGTGGTGAGGCCCAGAAGGCCTATTTCGACATGCCGGAGGAGGCCGCCACTGAGTATCCCTAGCTGAAGACTGAGATCCTTGCCCAAAGGTTCCATGAGTGGTGATAGGGGAGGTCAGAGCACCAAGGGCACAGCTATTTGATCTGATCCACGTGGCCCAAAAATGGTTGTAGCCGGAGACCTACAACCCGGAGAAGATTGTGGAAATTATTGTCCTGGACCGGTTTATGAGGGGCCTACCATCTGATCTGCGAGCCAGGGTCAGCCAGAATGAACCCTCCTCATATGACGACATGGTAGCCCTCATGGAAAGACAATTAATGACTAAAGGACTCTTGCAACCCCTCAGCAAAGAAGTCTGGAGAGACAAGAGAATTGGACTAGCCCCAAAGGCCTGTGGCTCTGAACCCTCGAATAAAACTTGGCCGGGGAAGAGGGAGACAGAAGAGCAGCCAGAGGCCATAAAGGGACTTGGGGACCAGGGGCAGGAAGATCATGGGGTAAAACCCAGTATCCCAAGAAATAGGGGGATGCCCCAGGCAGGATATCGATGCTACGCATGCGGGGAGATTAGGCATATAGCGACGCACTGTCCAAACATAACAGAACCCATTCAGTGTGACCTAGGAGACCTGGGAGGCCCCTGCAATCTCATAAATTTGACAGGCATAGCAATAGCCCCCCATCTGTACACCAAACCCATTAAGATGAATGGAATAAAGACTATGGCCCTGGTGGACTCAGGGAGCGCCGTCACATTGGTCTCTGGGCAGCTGATGGAACCAGACCAGCTGACCCATGCCAAGCACACAGGGATCTCCTGTGTCCATGGAGATGTCAATTATTACCCTGTTGTCCCAGTACAAACAGAGATCCAGGGGAATGTCACCATGGTTGCAGTGGGGGTAATTTCGAGGCTCCCATATCCAGTTGTGATTGGGCGGGACTTCCCTGGATTTAGTGACCTGCTCCCTACAACTGAGGGAAAGGAAGAGAGCCTCCTCCCAAGTTTTCACGAATTTTCCCAGACCTATTTTCTGAGCCTGGGAAACCCCGAAATCAAAGCGGAAAAGGAGGGCAGCCAAGAAACTGGGTACTCGAATTCTGACCCAGAACCTAAGGCAGGCCCTGGCCGGGGGGGAACTGAGCCAACTGATAATGAAGCACTGAGAGAGGTAAATGAGCCTGAGGCTGGGCCTAACTCAGCAGGGCCCCCTGGGATGGAAGAGGCCGAAGGTTCCCCAGACCCCAGGCAGATAGGGCCCTCGCTTGAAAATGTTGGACAGGACCAGGCCAATGACCCGCTGTATCAAAACATTCGTAAAGAGGTAGTTGAAGTAAACAGGATCCCCGTAGAAGGAAGGCTCAAGGGCCCTAGACCTCATTACATTATCAAGAGGGGTCTACTGTACCGAGTGTTGCCAGGCCCAGGACAGGAGGTGGAACAGCTCTTGGTGCCTCGGAATCACCGGCGAGCCGTGCTGGACCTAGCACACAGTCATCTATTCGGGGGTCACCTAGGAGTTGAGAAGACCCTAGATCGGATTTTAGGAAGGTTCTACTGGCCCAGGGTATATATGGAGGTTCAGCGGTATTGTGCCTCTTGCCCCGAATGCCAGCTTCATGGGCCCCAGCCACACCTGACAGCCCCACTGATACCCCTACCTATTATTGAAGTCCCTTTTGAACGCATCGCTATGGACCTAGTGGGCCCATTAGAAAAGTCAACCCAAGGACACCGGAACATATTAGTGGTCCTAGACTACGCCACCCGATACCCTGAGGCAGTACCTTTGAGAAATACCCATTCTAAGACAATAGCCAGGGAGTTAGTTCAAATCTTCTCGAGGGTGGGGATACCCAAGGAGATCCTAACCGATCAGGGTACTCCCTTTGTGTCTAAGTTAATGAAGGACCTGTGTGCACTACTCCACATACGGGCTCTGAGGACATCAGTATACCACCCGCAGACGGAGGGCCCGTCAAGCCGTTCAACCGCACCCTCAAGGACATGATTTGGAAGGTAGTGAGTCGGGACAGGAAAGATTGGGATGACCTACTCCCATAACTCATGTTTGCCATTCGAGAAGTACCACAGGCGTCCACAGGTTTTTCCCCATTTGAACTGATATATGGGCGAAACCCCTGAGGCCTTCTAGACCTTGCCAAAGAGACCTGGGAGGAGCAGACAAACCAAGAACGCAATATTGTAGAGCATGTCCTGCAGATGAAGGACAGGATCGCGCAGATAACCCCCATTGTAAGAAAGCCAGGGAAGCCAGAGAGAAGACAGCCTTTGCCACCCCCGAGGGCCTATATCAGTACACCGTCTTCCTGTTTGGATTACATCAGGCCCCTGCAACATTCCAGTGACTTATGGACAAGCTACTGCGCCCTCACCGTACATATGCGGCTGCTTATCTTGATGATGTCATCATCCACACCCTAGACTGGGACACACATTTAGAGAAGGTGGCGGCTGTACTGGACACCTTAAGGGAAGCTGGCCTAACCACAAACCCGGCAAAATGTACAATAGGACTAGCAGTGATGAGTTTTCCTGTACATTGTGCAACAGCTTTTAAATGCCTAGAGCTATTAGCGTAACCCTCCTGCCAGATAGCTCCGGCAGCAGCCAGGGCCGGGTTCAGTATCTAGGGGTTCCTTTTCACCCAACTCACACAGAACTGGCTTGAGACCCCACCCAGTAGCCTGGGAAATTGACACACCCCCGGGCGCCTCTGCGAAGCAATGCTTCCCCATGCACATGCAGAGTCTAAGCGTAGAAAAGAAACTTTTAATGAAAGAGGGAGAGAAGTAGCGTGGCATTAACTTGGGAAAACACCCCAGACAGAGTTCAGAACCATCCTAGGAGTAAACGTCCCAGCTCAAGTGGATTGAGCAATCTCCTTTGGCTCTCAGGTCCACAAGTTGAGCAATGTAAGTGTCCCATTCACATGCCCAACCCTTCTCTGCACCCCACTCACAATGGATGTCTTTGGTCAGGGCAGATCAGAGCTCAGGGATGATTTTCAGACCTCACCTCCCACCTTTGGAGGGCATGGGAATATGAGACATCTCACCCCCTCTGTTGGCCTCTCCCCACTGCTCCTGCCAGCCACCATGCTGTCCACCTGCACCTGTTAGCTGCTGCTTCCATAGTTTGGCTCAGGGCCAAACCTAGTGATTTCAGCTCTTTGTCAGTTTCTCAGTGATTGCAGCTCTTGTCCCGCCACCTCGGCTGGCCAAAAAATTCCAGCTCCCACTGGAATAATATTTCAAAATAAAAAAGAGACTCCTTATGGAGTCTGTTTTAGGTCTACCCTTAGAACCAGGGGTGGAGGGATGAGTGGCGGAGAGAAAGACAGGTTGAACAAGTCTTACAGCTCATGCCTGTAGCGCATGTAGCCTGCTGGTTCAAGCTCCTTCCCCCCTCTCCTTCCCCCCCCCCTTATGGAGTCTGTTTTAGGTCTACCCTTAGAACCAGGGGTGGAGGGATGAGTGGCGGAGAGAAAGACAGGTTGAACAAGTCTTACAGCTCATGCCTAGAGCGCATGTAGCCTGCTGGTTCAAGCTCCTTCCCCCCTCTCCTTCCCCCCCCC